TTTTAGTCGATTTTTGTCGATTTTTCATGTTTTTTCCAACTTCTAATTGCTATATCTCGAAAAACAGAGTTTTGCTAGATATAAGCTATATGTCAAATTTTAGCTCTAATTTGGGGCTATATTTGAGGCAATTTTGAAAAAAATCGTCGTAGCCGTTTTCGAGAAAATGGCCGATTTGTGCAAGGCCAGGTGACCATTTTTTGGGTTTTCAGCTCATAAGACCATACTAACTTGATTTTTTAAAGCTCAATAGGTGCCATTTTATAGCTGGCCTTGAGACCTTTCCAACGATACCTAAAAGTCTGAAATCGGTTGACAGGGTTAGGAACAGTAGCCATTGGAAGGAAGGCCATTTTTTGAATTTTCAAAGGCCGGCCAAGGCCAAGATGGCGTCCAAATCAAAAAGTGGCGGAACAAAAAAGTCTTAATTTTTGATATAGTTCAATGCCTGAAAGTTTGAAAAAGATCGGACAAAAAGTACGGACTGACGGACGGACGGACGGACACACAGACAAAACTATTATCTCAGAATAATTGGTGGAGACGGCAAAGAAAATTTTCAAATGGCCATAAATCATGAACTGATGGTTCGATTTCGACGTTCTTGGTGTTGTTGGAAAGGTCTCGACGAGAAGCTCCAGAAAAACCATGTTTTGAGATGACTGGGCCGCGTTCGACCCCGGTAAATGGGAAAAACTGAGAATTGCTCCAAATTTTTAAGTGGCCATATCTATGGAGACGGTTGGTCGATTCCCAAGTTTGAATGCATTTTCTGGGCCTATGAGCCAAGGGCTTTCTGACGATACTTCATTCATACCAGATGGCCTCTTAGGAAAAAAGTTCGAAATTGCGTGTATATATAGGCGAGTTCGACTTTCAGCACATAGGTGCTTTCGTCACTCGCGCCTGCTGTCGCCGGCTGAGATAATGTGATGTTACTCATTTATAAAATGAAAAATGATCTTGTCCCTTAATATTTATGTAACAAAATTAGATATGCGAATGAATTCCACAATAGAAACACAAGAAGCAGAAATGAATTTAGGCTTCCTGATATAAGAACTGAGAACGCAAGAAAATGTATATTGTACAACGGAGTAAAATTATTTAACGATTTGCCAAATGAACTAAAGAATATAGATAGTATTAACATATTTAAAAAGAGACTTGCCTTGCACAGAAAAGAATAGGATTTATGGATTTTATTAAATGTACAACCAAAAAAAGCGAAAGCTAATCACAAATAAAAAAAATAAAAAACATTTCGAATGCACACTCACTTCCCGGTACCGCTATATCGGCTATAAATTTAGCTTCGTTAGGTGTAATTGAAGGTGGAAGTGGTTTCACGCTCTTAAATAAAAGCAAAAATACATTTTGTTAGCGTTAATAAAATGCAAACTGGGGCATTGAGATTAGATACCTTTGGATCATGGATAAAATCAAGGAATGATGCAATTGGAAGGAACATTCCGCGACCACCTGTTGTTCCATTTATACCCACAGCTATGCCCACGATTTTGCCGTTTGTTTTTGAAACGACTGGTCCACCCGAATCTCCAGGTGTAATAATTTCGCCATCGTTCGTAGCTTCCCTAGTGGTAAAGTACAAATTCTGATCTAGGTCGAATGAGTTGGCCCGTTCGACGTCAGATATATAATTCGCATCGCAACGCCTCAATATCATTGGTGGATTCAACACGCCATACCCATAGACAGTGACCACTTCTGATGAGTTATTCAATTTGTAATCCTTGTCCACGAGTTTGATACTGCCAACGGTATCGCTGAATTCTAACGGCGTTTTCAGTGTAACTTTGGCAATATCAAATGAACCAACAATTATATGATCAAAATGAGGATGATATGCCAAGTTCTCTTTTTCGACTTTGATTTTGATTTTTTGATTTTCGTATGATGCAACTTTCGTACCAGCTACCACATAGGCATATGGAGCGCCAGCCACACAATGGGCATTCGTGATAATTTCCGTTTCTGACAAAATAAATGCGGTACATGCAACCATCATTTCTTCATCAGCATCAATTAACTTGTCTTTGAATTCATACAAATATTCTGTAATGAAATCGTTTCGTCTCAGTACAAGCAAAAATGAACACACACAAAATTGATAGAATATTTGAATAGAAAATTCACACGAAAAAAAGAATAAAAATTATTCTAAAGCTGACTTACTTTTAGGGGCAAAGATTCCAGCTACAAACTTTGCCTGTGACATGTTTTCAATTACTTCGCCCTTGAGAAGAGCTTGCGAGAAAAAGCCATCTGTTCATTAGAGAAAAGAGTTGAAATTTTAAAATGAAAAATCTCTTGGAATCATAAAAAGCGTGTACGAAAACAAAATTTGTCTTACGTTTTCCTTGAAGTTCCTAGAAAAAGAAATACGAAGAAACTTGTTCACTTTCAATTCTACAGAAACATCGCATTTTGTTAGATAAAAATGAAAATGATAAAGGAATAGAAAAAACTTACCGAAAATTCAACGATAAATAGCACCAAAAACAAACCGTGTAATAGATTCATTTTAATTTGCCAACGAAACAGAGTTTTAAGCTGTTGCACAATAATAATTTGAGAAGAGATACTTTGAATTCGTTTGGTCTTCCCTATGCGGTGGCGCCTCTTTTATACCATTCATCTACCAATAGCTGACACGTTCACTGCAACGTATAACTCGGTTATGGAATTATAAATTTTTTTTTAAATTATGGTATTTTTCATTATGGAATTTACGAATTGTAGTCTACCAACACTTTGCAACAAATGTCAAAGAAAAATTTCCCCCAAAAAGACTCATTTACAAGTTTTTTTTTGTCCCACTTAATCCAAATCTGATACGTAAAGCAATGAACGCATCTTGAAAACTAGACGTGCCAGGACAAACTAACGCCAGATTTGGATTAAGTGGGCCCAAAAAACTTTGTAAATAAGTTCCCTTCTCTGTAGTTGTTTCTTGTTGTTGCATATTGTTGCTATAGATGATGTTTAATTTATCTAGATAAAGATAAGATATTTCTGAAAATTCAGAACAATTATCTAGATATAGATAAGATATTATCTTATCTTTTCAATGAACAGATAAGATATCTTTTTTCAATTATCTTTTAGTTATCTTTGATATTTTCATATTTTTTCACATAAGATAACGAAAAAAATTATCTAGATAAGATATCGAGATAAATGACAAAATTGAATCCTTATCTAGATAAGATAAAAGAATATGTATGTATTGTATCTGCTCTGCTGTGCGATATTACTATGTAACAAAGTGGTATTGGTTGTAATATGACCATACTACTACCGATACATTTTTGTGACCTAGTAATATCGCACAGCAGAGCAGATACAATACATACAAAATCGCCACTCTCGCCAATACTAATGATGGTAATTTGACAGATCACCATTGGTATATGTGAATCGTATTAATTCCGTTCTGACAAGGATACATCACTGTGGGTTACGGCTTATGACCAAAACCACATATGCCACGGTGTAGGCCTTCGATAGACTAGCTCCACAACATTCTCCGTTTTGGCCCATATGAGCAATTATTTTTTGCTACATCGCTTTGCATGGTAGCAAGTAACGTTCGCGAGGGTCTGTAACAGTTCAATTCTGTCAATTTTAGTACTATTTAGCACAATGTAGTGTAGTGCAACATCACCCACAGTTGTCCAGAACCATTGAGAGGATTTAGTACTTTTTAGTACATTTTAGTACTCTTTTAGTACTTTTCGTACTTGGTCTGCAAAGCCCATGAGAAGTACTATAAAGTTGCTTCAGAAACTATTGCTCTTTTTCGAGTAGTTGAGAAGTTATAGAACTCCGAAAATGCTCGATGATATCGTTTGGTAGCGAAAAGTGACTTTGAGCCAAAAAAGTGGGCTAAATGTGATTTTTTTGGGTTAATGTGTTCATAAGAGTTGTCTAATTTGACGCTGGTCATAATAATGTTGAAGACAAAAAACAAAAATTATGGTTATTTTACGAGTTATGGTCGAAAAATGAGAAAAATTGGGGAAAATCGCCCTTTTTTCGACATTTTGCCCTATAAACCTAGTCAGATGCGATTTTTGAGGTATAGTATGTTGATAAATTTTGTTAATTGGACTCTTAGCTACAACTTCGCTGAAGATACTGAAACAATATAATCAAAAGTGGACGAGTTACGGACCAAAATTAAAGTTGCCAAAATGCGAAATATATGGCTATATTGGAAAACTTCAAAGCGATGTAGCAAAAAATAATTGCTCATATGGGCCAAAACGGAGAATGTTGTGGAGCTAGTCTATCGAAGGCCTACACCGTGGCATATGTGGTTTTGGTCATAAGCCGTAACCCACAGTGATGTATCCTTGTGAGTGAGTACAATTTGTGTAAATTGATAGCAAAAAATGGAATACGTTCGAAAACATTTTAAATTCTTTTGTTCTCCAGCTTGATGATGTTCCTAACAAAAATGAAACGTCGCATGATAAACGAATAACCGTTTTCGAAGATGACTTTAGCCCAACACATCACTTTTGTATTTATACAGATGGAGTGAAAAAACCGCTGCGCGTGTACACCAAAGGAATTTACATGAATTCCGTTCGCTTGAAAGTGGATCGCGAAATATCTGTTGAATATAGAAATCGTGTTTCACTTTAATTGAAACAAAAATGTACAATAGACTTCCAAGTCCATTGGAATAATGACTAATCTTAATGGTGGTTTTGGTTGTGACTTGATTTCGGAGTGAAAATTAAGTGGTAAGGAGCGCAAATTTCAATGTGCCGATAATACCAACGGTGCACACAAAATACTCTATTAGAATCTAAAAACATTTTATTAAAACTTGTTTTCGATTTTTGCCTGTGTGCGCGGCTGCAATTATACATTGATTTATATGGTAAAATCTACACATGGCCAGAACTCGCATTTCCGAGCAGAATTCGGCAAAAAATATTGTGTCCATCGCCTCCAAAACGTTATGAATTAATCCGAGCCATCATTTCACCAGTTCCGTAGTACCTATTCGCTGGGATACTCAAAACTCATGCTATCTCGCTCACACTTACGTGTAATTTTTACGTGCATTGCAAGCTACAGATTTACAGGCAATAACATATTATTAACTATACTCAATAACATAATAATAACGGCCGATATATTGGTCCAACATAACATAATAATAACGTTATTAAGATTCAGCATAATAATAACATAATATGTTACTAAATGTATTGAATTTTTCTTAATAAATCCTATGATTCGGCGCTAATAATATATTATTAACTATAATAATAACATATTATTAAGATGGATTTATTACTAGGGGAATTTAACTCTTACGAGTGCAGCATGTTTTCTGCCAGTTTGCTTGATTCGCGGAAGTTCGACGCGTTCGTTGTACGTACTGACGCGCACGGTCACAAGTTTACACAAGTTTTTTTATGGTTTTGCGCGTTTTTCAAGTTGTTATTTGACAACTAAAACGCGTTTCAAACAAAAAATCGGTTGTTTACGTGTATAAAGATTTTTCACATCCTTTCCAAAAGTTCAAAGATTTATATAATTATAAAATGGACAAAGGAAATATTTTTAAAGAGCTGGAGAAAGTGTTGAAGAAAAAGTTAATCCAGATATAATAAATGGAACGACTGATGTGTGCGCGTCGTCCAGCTACAAGTTTGCACACGAACTCGCGCGCGTTCGCGCATGTTGTTTTAATACGGAACTTGTCAACTGAGTGGAATCATGCAAGTTCTCTGGTGAATGTAACAATTTCGTGCGCGTTTATATCATTTTTTTACAAGTTTTCACGTAGTTAAATCCCCCTAGATTTATTAACTCAATTAATAACATATTATTAAGATACAATCTTAATAACGCTTTTTTCGCGCATTTTTTTCGCCGGAGCACTGACAAGTTGTTTTTTCACTGCGGAGTACACACATGAATTTTTTGCATTGTTGCAATGAAATTAAAATGACTCTTTGAAACGGAATTATCATGTATTGAACTTAACCATTAAAATTAGGAAATCGCCAGTCCCAACCTTGAAAGGATCAATTTACCATATTTTGTCTGCATTGTTATAGGTGTGTACATCGTACAGTGCTTTTTTTCTCTCCAGCTCATGCATTATTTTAATGGGCAGCTCTTGCCCATTTGGGCAGTTCTAAATCCCAAATGGGCAGCTGAAAACTCAAAAATGGGCAGTGTTTTACTTAAATTTTCTTGAAAATGGGCAGCTCTAAGCAGCTCAAAACTCAAAAATGGGCAGTTTTACTTAAATTTTCTTGAAAATGGGCAGCTCTAAAAATTTCTTAAAATAATGCATGCTCCAGCTAGGGAAAAGAATGCGCGAAAAAAGCGTTATTAAGATTGCATCTTAATAATATGTTATTATTATAGTTAATAAAATGTTATTACCGCCGAATCTTAGGATTTATTAAGATAACACCCGATATAACGCATAACATATTATGTTATTATTATGCTGAAACTTAATAACGTTATTAAGATAAAAAAAAATCCCAACATAACATAATAATAAATATGTCGGGCAATAACATATTAATAACATATCGAAAATGTAAATCTATCGCAATTACTTCAGATAATCACGTAACTGCGCATGGGCGAATGAAAACTAAAATGCATTTTTCTCAAATTTTCAAATTTATTCGATTCTTTTGTTGAACATCAAATGACAGGGGAAAAAAAAGAGACGGAATTCACGCCAAAAAGTAAGATCGGACTTGTTTTTGAGTCACTGTACAAAATAATCCGTTTTGTGTCGTGCGGAATGTATTTAAGAAAAATGTGGAACAAACATGATCCAATCTCTTGTGAGCCTCGCGAGTCAATCGATTCATCCCACACATACATATATGCTTTGTTCCTCACTTCATCATAAATACAAAGATTATAACACCACAGTTGTCGCCTGTAATAAGCTTTTTTGGTAGAGATCGATGGAACTTCGAGTGCTCTTTGCAAATCAAACACCAAAACTTCTTCTTTATTCTCGGGAAACATTTATGCACGCTGCACGCAGGCTACACGATCTTTTTCCGTTTTATCAACGATTTGCAAATGTTTTTTTTTTAATTAGTCAGCTGAATAATCCGATCAGGAGTTGTACCCATAGCTGTTCGCTCGGCTTCGTATGAATCACACTTTCGGCAGGTGTCAACTTTTGGTTTATGGAAAGTTAAATTGAATTCGGTATTGAAAATGGCACGGAATTTCCATTCGGGCAAAATCGTCTTCTTTTGAAAGGCACACTTTAATTCATATTCAATATACATTCGGCGAAAAATGAACTCAAGTATTGTTTATTCGAAGCCGATATTTTGTAGTGCGAATCGTAAGTTGGAAATGAAGGATACATTTTCTTAAGAAATTCAAATCTTTTTCCTTATACTTTTTGTTGGGAATTTGCCCCGGTGCTCTTTTCCACTTGGGTTTTTGTCAGAATATTTGAGTGTTCGTTTGAGCGTTGAATCCGAGATACACAAACACTTCGATAAAAACGACAAGCACACTC